AGGATCCCCATCAACATCGTGTACAGTCACAAATTGTGCTCTGTTCACATTACGGTATATGCACTCATTTGCACCTGCTGACATTCCATAGTCTCGTGTAGTGACAGTAATTTTCCAGTCAATCAGTTCTACAAATCCTTCCTTTATGTATGGTAGTAATACCTGCTTGATGTCATCCCCAAGTTGATCATGCTGTATCTGTATAGTGATGATTGCAGCTCCCATTGCTCTGTTGATCTCAACCCAATTGATCACTTCTTCAGGTGTAACACGTCCAAACAGACCCTTTTGTGTACAAGCGGCAAAAACCCCATCTCTGGGTCTCTGGTCATAGAACACAGGCATCTTAGGCAGCATATCTTTCCTACATTCTTTATCAGTGGTTAGTTCAATGTATGGAGGTACTTCATTAAGAGCTACTGAGTCTTTGATTCGTAAGAGATAAGCAACATAAGTCTCAGGGGGTAGTATGTCCTCTCTTACCCAACCCACTTGCTTCCATTTAGATACTTTTAAGCAATGGAATCCTCTGTCCTTATTATAACTGTCACTACTAGTTTGTGGTATCCTTGCATACAAGTTTAGTTTTTCCTCCTTAATGGCATCGTGGTGCATAGATATTATAACTATTTGAGGACCAAAGTGTTTCCTAGAATCAAAAAATACAGTTCTTCGAATCTGCATGTAGAGAGAAAGAGAAAGGAAATACATGACAGTAAACTGAAGTGAACTAAGTAAACATGTAAAATACACATGTCAGCCTTTCGTGATGCATTAGTGTATCTGGCATATCATGTTATGATGACAAAATTCAATGTATGTAAATTATGTTTTTCTCTAATGATAATAATGAGAAACCATAGGGGAATTTAAGTCTATCTTGAGTTCCATCAATTTAGCACTTAAACTTGCTAAATTCATTACAGACTGTTCACAGTCTACATGTACACATATCTACATGTCTACAATTATCTAATTAAAGTTTGAACAAGTTGGTGTAAAATAAGCATGTATATATGTTGGCACAACTGCATTTGGTAATAATAAGGTTTGTTTATTCTAAATATCTTACCACATGTGGTGAGCATTAAACTTACTATTGTCATCTTTTCTGGATCCAAGTCTATCCAGAGGTCACTGTGGCTTGATGGATGATCAGGAGAAATTTTTTGGGATAGGGAACCAGGACTGGCGGCCTTCTTTTGATGCGCATAAACAACTGGATCTATCACTGGTAGCTGCTGTTGCCTCCTTGTTGCTTGCGGATCCAGGTGACGCCATAAGGGTACCAATAATATCACAAAAAGCAGGAGGAAAATAGCGAAGAGAATGAATCTCTTTGTACACCTGTCTATCTGCTGCATAATGGATAAAAGTAAACTGACTAGATCTACTAGATAGATAGTAGTACTATAGTAACTGCTGTACTACAAAAGCTACAAAAGGTCGTCGTACTCGTGCAGCTGCGGCGGCCGGCGGGCCGTGATCCATTAAAGGACATAGGCGTGGCAAGAGGAGTGGTTCGACTTGAAATAAAAATGGGGGAAAGAAAAGTATTAAATGTAAGCTCCAATAGATTATGTTTAGACCCACTTTACTTCTTAATTCTCTATGCATTCCATATTATATTTTTTTAAATTTCTTGTCTCTCTAGAAATACTATCCTCCTGATTTAGAGAATTTTAAACTACCCAAGCTAAACCCAAACCGCTGTAAACAGTATGTCGTTCGATTAATGATACCATTTACCATGAGATGCAAGACATGTGGTAATCACATATATCACGGAAAGAAATTCAACGCGAGGAAGGAGACAGTCGAGGGTGAGAAGTACCTTGGTATGCCAATCTTTCGATTCTACATACGCTGTCCTGTGTGCCTCTCAGAGATATCATTCAAAGTAATTTTAATTCATTATTTAATGGCTTGAACATGTTCATTGCCAGTAGCACTATTTTTTGTAATTAATTTAATTTAATTTTGTTTTTGTTGGAATTAAAATCGAGACATTTTTCAGGATAGCTTAAGTGCATTGATGTGAAAATTTGATTTTTTATTATTAATACTTATTATTTTGACAGTTTATCTTGGCTCACAGGACCATTAATGTAATTTATCTTTTGGTTATACATTAACCAATTTTTATTTTACTTTCTGATACATATTGATGTCCTTATGCTGTGTAGAAAGATTCCTATTTCAATTTTTCAAGTTATGGCCATTTATAAAGATTAGCAAATTTTCGGAAAAAGCAAAGGCTATAGTCCATGCTTTTTTCCGTAAAATAGCTCCAAAATTACCCCAAATTTTTATTACATTTTCTGATACACATTGATGTCCTTATGCTATGTTGAAAGTTTGAGTTGATTCCGACTTCAATTTTTTGAGTTATGGCCATTTTTTAAATTAGCAAATTTTTGGAAAAAAGCAAAGGCTATAGCCCATGGTTTTTCCAAAAAAATGGCTCCGAAATCACTCCCAATTTTTATTACATTTTCTGATACATATTGATGTCCTTATGCTATGTAGAAAGTTTGAGCCAATTCCAGCTTCAATTTTTCGAGTTATGGCCATTTTTTTAATTAGCAAATTTTTGAAAAATACCTAAGGCTATAGCCCATGGTTTTTTCCAAAAAATGGCTCTGAAATCACTCCCAATTTTTATTACATTTTCTGATAAATATTAATGTCCTTATGCTATGTAGAAAGTTTGAGTTGATTCCGACTTCAATTTTTCGAGTTATGACCTTTTTTTAAATTAGCAAATTTTTGGAAAAAAGCAAAGGCCCATGGTTCTTCCAAAAAATGGCTCCAAAATTACCCCCCCCCCCCCCAATTTTTATTACATTTTCTGATACATATTGATGTCTTTATGCTATGTTTATGCTATATTATTAAAAATTACTATAATGTACTGTAATTCATTACTCTGTCTTTCTTTCTCTCATATATTATTCCTCCTTATCTTTTTTTCTGTATCTCTCCTTATTCATTAGACAGATCCAGAGAATACTGACTATGCTGCTGAGGCTGGTGCTTATAGAACATTTCAAGCAGAGGCCATTGCTGTGAGAGAGATTGAGCGTAAGCAACAAGAGAAAGAAGAAGAGGAGGCCAACAACCCAATGCTGGTATAATAGTTTAATCACAATAATTAGTGTTTAAACTAGAGTAGTAATTCTGATCTTTGTATTGTAGATTTTTGTAGTTTTTTTTTATTCTTCTAGATGATTAATACCTTAATTTCATTAAATGGTTGTCTTATTTTATCTCAAACTTTTCTCCCTCCCTCCCTCCCTCTCTCTTCTTCATTAGGCATTAGAAAACAGGACCAAAGAGTCAAGGAGAGAGATGGACATTCTTGACGTGCTTGAAGAGATAAAGGACATAAACGCTCAACAAGAAGGAGTCTCATTTGAACAACTAATGGAGAAACACCTCGAGAAAGAGAGGGAAGAGTCACAAGAAGAGGAACAGATTGTTGATGCACTTGCAAAGTAAACCATTAACAAACAACCTCACCTGTGAACAATATGTACACACACACACTGTGGTAGTGTAATATAATAGCTAATATATAGCCCATTTTTATGGAGTTTTTATGTGTACATGAAGAATGGTCCTTAGGTTTACTAATAATAGTAGACTTGAATGGAGTATGA